TGTTGTCCATACCACTGAGCCTCCAGGTGTATGATCACATATTGGCCCTGGCTATTCAGTCCAGATCTGGATAAGAATCTCTGTCATTTAGCTCAGATCTCTGAAGGGTCCCAAAATTGACCTCAACTCAGAGTGAAGGAAACATGTAGGGTAAAATTGAAATTTTCAGATTTTAATTCCTAAAAAAAGAGAAAAATTTACATCAGTATGCTGTTAGACACTCCTTTCTATCTTTATAATGACATAAAAAGGCTTTATACACCAATATAATTTTTAACATATTGTGGTTGTGCTGGATAAGATTGCACTACATCAGTAAAATTATCCTGCACTGCACTTCTTAAGTTATTGTCAAGTCTTGACACAGTGCAGCTGTGGTAGTTTGAGACCCCAGAAATCCAATTCCTGAGTCCAAGCCCCCCTCCCACATCTCACCCCAGTGGGAGAGGGGTTTTCCAGACACCTACACAGAACTCAATATGGGGGGGAAGGGAATTATATTACAATCACTACACAAATAAATATTATAATACATTATATATATAATTCGAATTATCTTTCCTATGATAAAGCAATGTTTACAATGGATCAAATCTCTTCTCCCTCCAATAAAGTCCAGAAGGGAAGAAGGGAAAGATCCTTTCCACGTTCAGGGCAGCAGCCTCTCTTCTTCCATGCAGCAGCTGTAGCTGAATCTCTTTCCATTACACACAAGGGGGAGAGGGTCTCCTCTCACCCCTCTTGACCCTTCGACTCTAAGCGAAGGTCTCTCTTGTGGATGGAGCAGAGAGATTGAGTGAGCAATTTCTTCTGCATTTCTGGAGGCCCTGCCTTTTCATGGCTGCATGCAGATTGTAAAAACTTCTCCATAGTTAACATGGCTTCAGCCTCTGAAGCTAGAACAAAGGAGGATCACCGCCAAGGTTAAGGAGGAGTCCAGAGAGGTAAACAAGTTTTCTCATCTCATATGGACACCTGCAATACTCCAATTAGAACTGGACAACAAAGTATGTTTCTTTTATGTACCCAATGCTGTGGAAGAAGAATCAAGCGTTGGGGTGTAGTAGCAGTATATAGTGTCCTTCTTGTAATAAACGGATGTCTCTGAGCTTCTCAGCTCCTCTTTTCTCTGGTACCGCTGCATTCCAAGTCTCCCCTCAAGTGGGAGTCCACCACCCCTCCTCCCTAGGAGGTCTCAGAGGGGTTTTGGGCGATTTTTGATTCAGTTCTTACCCCAAAACTCTGTCCGTAGAGCTTATTTCTCTCTCTCTCTCTCTCTCTCTCTTAGAGGTCTCTGTCTCTCTGCTTAGCTGCATGCTTGTTTCTGCTGCTTCTTCTTATCTCTTGGTTTTCTGCCAAACCTTAATGTCTGTTTGATCATCACACTGTGATGAAGCCCACAGCAGATGAATTTGCATCCCAGTTCATGTTAGAATGATTCTGTCTTCACAGACTTATCAGTGAAGATGGGATTTTCTGCAACTTATTTTTCCAAGGAAAAACCTTAAAACTTACTTTCAGGTATCCCAGTAAAAGAAGTAGAGAAAAAATAAATAGCTCTTTCTCCATTTTGCTCTTATGTCAGGGAAATAAATTTTAATCTTCATTGCATTCCTGTGTGTTATTACATCCAACTGACTTTCTTATAATTGGAAAAGTTTTTGCCGTTTTCCTGTTTTTGAGATTCCTTTAAGTATCTGAGACTTCAAACTGTCAGCTTGTAACAGATCTTCTTTCAAAGGTTTCCCATGATGTTTATGAAGGTGCTGCCTTGACCAGTGTGCTGGTGCAAGCCCTGGGACTTGTCATCTCCTCCACTGGCAACTGCATATGAAATGTTCCTCCTGCTGAAGTGGAACTCACACTTGGACAACTGTTGAGTTAGCAGTGCTCATCCAGGATTTCATGCAGGGCTTAGCCATATTTATTATACAGGCTTGTATCTTGGCTCTTCTGCGTTTTACCCCTGTCTAGATAGATGTTCCTTTTGCTTTCCTAATGCATTAGTTTTTTAAAGACATTTTAGCCACCCAGAGATTAAAACAGAAACTCATATATTAGTTTTCTCCCTCATATTGTGAAGATGTTATCGGTTCACAAAGGGCTCCCAAATGAGCTTTACTGGCTTATTGGACTAATAAAGAATCTCTGATGAGCATAAGATACTCTTGGATTCTTTATCTACCAGACAAAATTATTTGTTAGCCCCTGTTACTCTTGATTTTCTATGTACCACACTTCTGGCCAAGAAATCCATAGCTGAACCCTGGGCAGTTCTGTACTTGTGCATACTGGAGTCAGAACTTCATAACTTTAAGTAAAATCTTTCTGAGTCTAATTTCTCTCTTGCTGTAAACAGAATGGCGCATGTGCTTAGGAAAATGAACATTTTTTTCCTTTCCTGACTTTGATGTTACCCACAAAGGATGTGAAATTTTATTTTATTATCTAATGGATGCATTATTCTGAGCTGAAGTATACATCCCTTATTTGGTCTGCACATAATTATTTAAATTGGCTAGATTTCAGGTTGCTTTGTAGATCAGAAAGTTATTGTTTATGTCTATATTATTCTACATCATTCAATTAATCAGTACCATTTAACAGTCCTGGGCTTTACAAATTTACTCTCTATACTTTAAGTAGCCATTTGGCTATTTCTGAAAACCTGTAATTTATGGAACACACTTTCCCAGGTCTTTCAGCTAATCTTGAAATTTTAGTGCTGATTTGAACTGAAATTTGGAAGACTAATAAGAAAGTATTATTTCAGATGACTGATCCTTATATCTTTGCATTCTCTTGTTTTAGGAAAAGTTTGATCCCGGCAATAAGAGTATCACTTTTCTAAATATCTTCTTTTCATAAACAAATCACATATTTAAATGTTTTTCCCATAATCTGGGAGTTTTGGCAGTTGGAAGAGTTTCTTTCACAGGTAAAAATTTTCTGGTTCGTTTTGGGTAGTGACTTTGTACTGGATCTGTCTTGGATGGAGTTAACCTTCTTCACAGGAACCTCTATGGACCTGTGTCTAAAACAGTTCTGATAGCACATCAATGTTTTGGCTACTGCTCAACAGTAATTTTGCAGCATCAAGGTTTCCTCTCTGCACCCCTCTGACAGCCGGTTAGTAGGCTGGGGCTGCATAAGGAGGTGACAGGGAACACAGCCAGGACAGCTGACCTAAACTGACTAAAGTGATATTTCATGCCATATAACATTGTACTCAACAGTAAAGCTGAGGAGATAGCCTTTCTTTGATGGAACAAATCATCTTCTAGAAACTACTATTTTTTCATTCATTTAGAGAGGTTGTTTTGATGCTTAGTATATGTAGAAATCTGTACAAGTTTATTAATTTTTTACTATGCAATTTAAAAATAATCAGGTTGTGAAAATGTGACTGTGTAAAACCTGATTATTATACTCGTCTAAACTCCAGGCTGCTAGATACAGGCAACTTTACAACTTGTTCTTTGGCTGGGAATTCATAATTTCAAAAATATGTTGTGCTGACAGCCAGAAGAACTAGACTCCTACTTTCTCTTCATAGAATAAGCTTATTGAAGATACTCCAAGAGGTACTTTTTTCTGGATCCATACATGTTACTTCTAGGGGTAATAAAAGGCTAATGATTTTTGTGATAAATATAAATATCATATATGACATAGACCATGCCTGGTTCATTTATCACCATAACCACAAGGCCAGGAGAAGGTAACACCTTCAAATTTCTAACATCCGAGTTGGATTGTCAATAGCATTCTCCACTGAAAAGGCCTTATACAGCATTATTGATCCCAGCAGTCCACAAAATTAATTTGAATTTATGATATGCGCTTAAATAGAGACAGAGATTCTGGAGACAGAATGCAACCAGTAAGAAGATGTCAGGGGATCTGGTGTATGAAAAGATGCTATTTTAATAAGTAGCCCGGTATAGAAGAACTATTGAATTACTGGCCTACAATAGTATGAATTGGAAGGTTATACTACAAGGTCTCTACCAACTTCAAAAACATAACATGATATTAAGCCAGTTTCTCCACAGACTGCAGCCTAAATGAAACCATTTTTTAAATGTAGGTTGCAAGCACTGAATGTTTTGCAAATTGCAGTATGTTCAACTCAAATTATTCCAATCAATGGAGCATTTTTCCTGTGCACTGTCAAGCTTCCACTGTAATTAGAGTCCACATTGCATTTCTAGTGCTTTTTGCATGCCTATAAAATCAGACCCTTCCAATATTATCTACTCGTGATTTCATAAACATTCATCACAGCTTTCTTTGTGGCTGGATATCCTCAAGAACTCTAAGACTTGGGATGTTCGGTGTGCCTGCCCAGTGGCACAGCTCAGTGGCACTGAAGTTTATTGCCATTTCTTTTTACTCTTATGCAGCCCTGCTCTGTAACATTTACTCTGTTGATTGCATTCATTTTGGTATTCATAGCCAATTCTATCTCTGTGTGACTTTAATTGTATCTCACTAAATTAAAGAGGCATTATAAAGTTGTTACCCTTTGATTTTGTAGCTTTAATTTCATTTTTCTTTAATCTTTGGAGCACACTAGATTATCAATTAGCATAATAAAACAGTCACTGTGGAATTTAGTAACAATACTGGATATCCTGTGAAGTGAATCAGCCCATTTAATGTTAGTAGCATGGTGACAGTATGTGCACTAAGTAATTAAGTAACCAAAATTCTACACCACGTTTCTATATTATGTCTATACAGGAATTAAGGATTCTGAGATTTTTTTTAGGGAATAGTTTCCAATGACTGAAGACTTCTTTTGAATGTTTTGTACATTCTAAAGTTGTAAGAAATTTGGAAGATCTTAAGTATTTTAAAATTTTTTTCTTTATAGAAGATGTAGTCACTGTTATTGGTAGACAGAATAAAGTCAATTGATGTTTTAGCACTGTCTTAAAGTGGTCCTTTCAAAACAATGATCTCTGCTCCCATTTTAGGTCTAATAGTTGCTTCATTTTAGTGATCAAGACCTCCTAGCCTGTTGTTTGTGATACGTGCCCTTGAGAGACTAATGAAGTTTGTGCTTTTCCTGTAGGTGAGTTGAGCTTCTGTGTTAATTCTTCTAAATTATCTACTTTTTGTAAGGAGGCCAGCTTTGCTGGAGCATACTATGCATATACTGGGTGTGTAGAAGAAAATTAGGTAACCATTTCTTCTATCCCAATCTAACTGCTTAGGCAATGTTGAAGCCAGCCATGTTAAGTGACCGGACTCTAGGCATCTACATTGTTAATTTCTTAATGAAGATTAGATGTTTGCAGTAGATTAGGCTCCAGGGTTATACGAAAACCAAGAGAAAGGGAGGAGATTCTAGACTTGCAAGTCCCTTTGTAGTACTCTAAATATTTATTGTGTTCAGTGATTTTACTGAAAATTCAGAAGCTTATCAAACCACATAAAATACATATTTCAAAATATCTTCTAAGAACAGCAGACAACTAGAAGAGATGCCAATAGCTAGTCATGCATTCTTTTAAATAAGAAAAAATGTCAATATGGCTAGATACATAATTATGAATGTCAAATCATTGCAACTTCATAATGTTTTCTGAAGCCATTAAAGGAGAGGTGGGAGGGAAGGATATAAAGAAAAGGAGAAGGGTGGAAGAACATAAAGAAAAGTAGAAGTATAAAACAACAAAAAGGCAATCAGTCTACATATTTACTAAATGAGTGGTAGTCCAGCTGTTTTCTCTATAAAGAATAAAATTTCATTGTTACAAGAGTATAATCTTTTCTGAGACAGTGTAAAATATTTCTCATGGAATTTACCACAGAAGTTTCTAAGAAGCTTTTGAACAAACACACAATAAAAGATCAACCTCTTTTATTTGATCTTTTTTTCATTTTTGTTTAATTATTCTTTATAATTTTGCTGAATTCAGGAGTACTGTATTGCCTTATCTTACTTTTCTGTATTGCCTTACTTTTCTTCTACTTGTTGTCATCTTATGTCTACAATGGAATTTTTTTGGGAACAGAAAAGCCTTTGTGAGCTGAGGTCCCCTGAAGTGACCTTCACCTTCAGTCCTGCTGGCCCATTTCCCTGGTCATTCTTGGTGAGTCACTGACAAGGACCAGTGACCTTGGTCGGTGACCTTGGTCAGTGACACTGTAATACAGACTGCAAGGTCAGCAGAACCACACTTTTCTCCACCAAGTTTCACCCTATATAAAAAGCACAGTACCGCCAGAGAGAATGGAGTCTATTTAACATGTGTGAAGGTGGGGAGAGAGATGTGAATGAGAGCTCCTCTTCTGCAATATTTCTGTTAAAACATGTCGGTTGTTTCCCCTCCTCTGTTAACACCAAAGCTGATCTTAAACATGCTGCATTCCAGACATCATGTGCTTTCTATTTGTATTCATTGCAGATGACACTAAAACTACTGCAAATGATTCAGGTAATTGACAAACCACAGGGGCACTTAGCCTGTTCATTGGCCTATTTTAGGCTGGCTCATCATCACCATTCTAATTGATGACAGGTCTCTAGTTTTTCACTTGCCAGGCTGTAAGACAAGGAATATTAATAAAGTATTCTGGCAGTGGGAATGTTGTAACTGTTTCCAGCCTTCTGCAAGCAATGAGCTCCTCCACCTCCGACCCTGTTGCTAATGCACAAGTGATGTGGTGGGGAACTTTTTCAATATAAGAACACTCTGTTTTCTCCATTGACTCAGGCCCTTGCAATTACCTAATTCTAGTACGACCATAGATTTTAATGTAATGCTGTACCCAGCAACATGTTGTTATTAAAAAGTAATACCATCAAAGTAGCTGACATCTTTATTGAAATAACAAACTTTTCTCTCTTATAATAAAGAACATTTCAGAAACTAAAATTGGTTTTATTTACTGGTTACCACTGCCCTGTTCCCTAGGTGCTCAGCATTAGTATTTATTAACAGGAGAACATACACATATGTGTTCCACTGTCCTTTTTTTTCCGCACAGACTCACCATAGAAGCCATTTCCTGGCCCAAATTATCTCGCTATTGGACTGGAACACAGATAACAGAGTGTGCAATTGAATCCACTGTTCAATATGCAGAGGAGAGAAGTCATAGGGCTGCAACAGAGGACTCTTGGGCTCATTAATTAATTGTTTGTCAAAGCCACTTTCATAATCCATGGAAAAAAGTAACTCATCCCATCCTAAAAGAAACCTTTTAAATGGTACAGCTGAAAAATAACTCTTAAAAGTTCCTATTTCTTCCTGATGACTGTAGAGAGAATTATAACAGCAACCTCAGCATTGTCTGTCTCACATTAGGTGAGATGAAGCTCACTTTCAGTGCTCTCATTTTAGGTGCTTCCTTTTGACTTACTCATCCGACTTGGTACATGGACTACAAAGTGACACATGGTGTGCTAGGCTTCACTGCAGTGGTAAGGTGTGCTCTAACTATCCCTTTTTGTCCTGTATTGTCAAACAAGAGCTTTTCATCCAAATTAAAGTACCACAGAAAGAAAGGGTCTATACTGTCTCTGGAAGAACCTCTGTCTATATTGTTCCTTGGAAAGGAGGCTATTCCTTGCCAGGAGACCTGAGCTGCAAATCTCACAAACGTCTTTTCTTGTTGGATTGAATCTTGCTATGACATTTCAACCAGCTTGGGTGGTGGTGGGGGTTGAGTAATTCAGTTCTGATGTTGCTTTCATCCCATCATAGAAGTTCAGTAACTAGTATGCATAAGTTAAGGCCATTATTCTGCTGGTAGAGATAGATGCCACATTTTATAAAGCAGGAGTTGAGTTCTTGAACAGAAACATACTTCTAAGTCTGAAAAATGTTAGAAAAATGTTAGAAAATAACTCTGCCCTCCCTCTGCTTTTCTTCTGTGACTGCTGTGATGAATTTAGCACTGTGTTTCAGAACTGTACCCTGACGACCACCCATGTATCAAAGAAATCCTCTGTGCCATTTGGCTCTATGTCTGTCAGTGGTAATTGGTGATGGAAAAGGAAAGGAGTAAGTGTTTGCTTTACTTAGCACTTTTCTAAATCAGGCCTGAAAGGAGAAAAGTGCTAGTGAACGGGAAGAGCATGGAAGGGAATGTTATTTTATTTATTAAAAAATAAGTGTCTGGAGTTTAAACATGTCGACATGTTTAAACTCTACTCCATGAGGCACTGAGTGCCCTTGAATCCCTTTGATGTTAGTGGTAGGTGAGGTAACTCAGCGCTCTACAGGAGTGAGCCCTGAGAATTCCCTTGAAGGAGAGTCACAAAGAAGAAGTGTGCCCACAAGTCTTGAGCTGAACTATGCTTCCTTCCCATTTTTTCTGTCTCCTAAATCTAGATCTATCTAGATGTGTGTGGTTAATTTATTTGAATGTATGATATGCATATTAGAAGATTCAGTGTGCAGTTCAACATAGTGTCTTTTCAGTTCAAATGGGCAAAAGGAAATGGCTCATTTCTCAGAGACATGCTCTTGTTATTCCATCAGACAACAAGAGAGGCAATGCTTGTGCAATCCAAGCTGTTTGTTATGTACTTCGATCTTGACGCATTATCCTGAATTTGGCAGAGAACTCCTGGAAGTGAAGGAACTTCTGGAAGTAAAAGGGAGGTGGAATTAGATCCCTGAGGAATTTAAGGACCTAGTTATTTTTGAAAATATAAGACATCTGCAGAGATACTTCCAAAATTATTCTTTGCAGCAATTCTTACACACCATGGTAAGAACTTCAGAAATGCTTTATCATTTGCATCAGCTTTTTATCATTACGTTATTTTACATCAATAAGTTGCAACATCCAGACCTCTCTCTGGTCCATGGTTTGACCACCCTCATTGTAAATTCTTTTCCTTATATCAAGTATCTATTGCTTCTGATCCTTTCACTGTGAATTGCTGGAAAGAGTTTGGCTCTATCTTTCCTACATCCTCCCAATAGGGAATGGTAGAGTATGATGATACACATAGTGACGAGATCAGGCTTTTTGTAGAAGCTGTGTAACCTCATTGGTGTACATGTTTTGTTTTGGTTAAACCCTAAAGTGTATCAATATTTGGGGGGAAAATGAAAAACCCTTTGAGGAGCAGGATCATCTTTACGTTTCCTGTCTGAAGGTGAGACTATACACCTGCTCTGCTGAGCAGTGCAGCCCAAGGGCCTAATGTTTGTGAGGCTGTTTGATTTGAAATAGATGTTGCAATTGTGCTTGGTCCTTTCAGGGTGGTGAATTCCTAAGTGGAAACTGCTGTGTGCATGGCTACTGCATAGACAAACTACATATGAACATGCATGGATAAACATTACACATACTGTACAATTGTAGTATTATACACAGTGCAGACAATAATCAGATCACCTACAGCTAGTTCACATAAATTGTTATGCCATATACTTAGGGCATTTTTGCTTTGTTTTTTAGCAGCAGAATTAGTGACTAAGTGCCTTTGAATTCTGTACTGATGTATACAGGGAAAAACAGTTCATGATTTTTATATGAACTAATCACAAGCATTTAGAATATTGGATAAAAGAACTTGAAGAATTCCCGTGTCACATATGGAAATGATTCTCTGGTGGTAATCTGAGGCTTAGTATACATTTTATATTTAACCTCTTATCAAATGGGCAGAAATCCCATAGTTCCTTTACTATCAAAACTAAAGTGTCCTTTTAATGGCACTGATTTCTTCAATTTCCAATAAAATAAAAGAAATAGAAAGCACTCCTATTACAGTAAGCCCTTTGAAGGTGATACTGGTGAGAATAGCATAATGGTTTTCAAAGATATTTCAAAGGTTAAATATGTGCATTTCCACAGCTCACTATTTTATTTACTCCAAAAGTGACTTCTCTTGGTAGATTGATTTCCATTCTAAATAATATAATGTGGGCTTTTAAAAAAAAATCCCACCAAAAATCTCTGTAATAGACTCTGGACCAACAGGAACTGAAATCAGTAGCAAAATTCCTATCAAGTTAAATAAAAATAGGTCAAAATGCTGTGTGATCAGAATTACTCACTGTAAAAGAGTTTACCTCTCCTATCCCTCCTTCCCCACTCTCTCTGTGCTTTTATATCAGCTGTGTGATCAAGCTATGTAGGGAAGGAAAAGCTGACCCTGATGCTAATTGAAAAAGACTTGGCTGGAGCCAGCTGGTTTGCAACATTGTGAAAACAGTACAAAAATGTAATTTTGAATAAGTCATCAAGATTGAACACTAAAAGCAAATCTATTTAATCGTGTAAAATCAATAAAGAGATTAAAAAAGGATGAAAACAAAAACTATAAAATCTAATAAAAGTGACTGAAAAAAGTGCAATATCGGAAATGGTATGGAAAAATGTGATCACATTTAAAAATTATTATTAGAATAAACCACATTTTTAATTAACATGTAATTTTCACTTAAAAAGTTCATCTGCAAATGTCATTGGAGAAATACTAATGGTATAATACCAGATAATTCATTCCATAGTCATGTGGGTTTTTTCTCGTTCTAATCTTCAACTGCAGCTCCTTAATGAAAGGATAGTATGTGCATATAGCACTGAAGGGCAATTATCCTGCTAAGTTAGTGAGCAGCAATACAAAATGAAAAGAAAACCCTGAAGTGGAAAATGGTGTGAAGAAGTAGAAGGTCTGGTTTTTTTCCATGAGAAATGAAGCTCGTTTATCTCAAATGATAAAGGACAGGGGAAATGGAAGCAGAGCACATATATGTGTGTGCTTCTGTAGGTGAGTACAACTGTTTTGGTATTTGCCTTGTGACCATTTCATCTCAAATATTCTTAGGAGCTTAAAGACTTGGAATATTAATACCTCAATAATTATTTTCCAAAGGAAAAAAAAAAGGAGTTAAGAAAAAAAAATATTATTGATAGATAGATTCTCTGTTTTATCCTGGATGACAAGTATAATGAAACTTTAATGTCAAATCTACCCACAGTCTGCCGGTTACTTCTGAAGCTTTTTGTTCAGTGATGGGCTGCTGCTCTTGAGATCAACCAAACTATAACTTGAGGTTTATCTTGGATTATTTAGTTAGTTAAAAAATTATGCATGAGGGGCAGCACTTCTTTCCCAGGTATGATTGTTAGAGATCCAGTCCCTTTTTGGCACCTGCTTGACTGTCTATCATGAAGCAGGTAAGCTCCAAAATGTGGTGTTAGAGGGGCTACATGGACTCATGCAGTATCCTCCCTGTCACGCAGTCGAGCTCTGGTGGCTGCTGCAACTGTGATGGCTGAGCATATCTGAATCATATGTCGTACCACAAAGTAATTGCTCTGGGAATCACAGTTTAAAAAGTAATAATATTTTTTGGGGGAGTTTTGTCATGGCAAAGAGTGTAAAAGAATTTCATACAAAAGAAAAATGTGTTTTAGGGGAGATCACCAGCCCTTGTTCTTGTGGGAGACTTAACCTGCCAGATGTCTGCAGGAAACAACACAGCAGACAGGAGGCTGTCTAGGAGGTTCCCGGAGTGTATGGAAGATAACCTTAGACAGCTGGTAAGCAAGTTTCCCAGGGGTGGGGCCCTGCTAGACCTGCTGTTTACAAACAGAGAAGGGCTGGTTTTCTGGTAGAATATGCAATTTGGGCAGTAAAATTGGGTTCTTAATGGATTTTAGGAATGTAGGGCTTAATATTAAGTGCCAAAAGAGAATAAAGTTTCCCTTTGCTATAAGGCAACTTATGCAAGACTAAATATTAGCAAATGAAGAAAATTAACATAAAACCTGAGGAAGTATAAACAAGACATATAACAGATTCTCCAAGAAGACATCGGAACTATTGCCAGGAATCCAGCAGGATCCAGATCCAAGTTAATCAAACATGTACTAAACATAGCTGTGTACTAAACTAAACTTGTACTAAATGTGACCAAATGTACTGAAGCAAACTTCAGGAACCCTTACTTTTAACCCATAAAAGTTCTAATACCTTCATAATATCATGAAATGCAATACAACCAAATAAGCTTATTCTGTAAGAGATGTGTGAATAATAAATTATTCTATAATTTATTATTCACAAAGAGCAGTAAATTATTCTAATCACATTTTCTGCGTTATGAAAATTCTAAAAAGTGGTGCTGTAGGCAAATAAATGGCTATGGAAAGTGTCATCATTCATTCCAATCTTTTTTTTTAATAAACTTTATTCAAATTAAAGAAAAAAAATAATTACAGTGAAACAAATATCTAATGTGAAATGACCATATGCTTTAAAAGGACATCAGAAGCCTCTTCAGAGCAAAATCACATTGCTAGTATTTAATCTTTAGACCAGATCCAGAGACAGTAAGGCCTATCTTTAGTAAATTGATTAAAATGCTTTGAACTCCAATACCAATTAATATATACTTTGGAGCTCTCCACTTCTCATAGTCATAGAGATAGCTGTATTTTGAGTAAATGCAT